GGGGGGTTTTGGGGTCACCCTGAAGTTTTCGGGGGAGATTTTGGGGTCACCTCGGGCTTTTGGGGGTGGTTTTGGGGTCACTTCAGGATTTTTGGGGGGGTTTTGGGGTCACCCCAAATTTTAGGGGGTGGTTTTGGGGTCACCCCGGTTTTTGGGAGGTTTTGGGGTCACCCCGAGTTTTCGGGGGTGTTTTTGGGGTCACTTCGGGTTTTTGGGGTGTTTTTGGGGTGCGCTGACCCCTCCCCGCCCCCCCAGGGCAGCGCCGTGTTCGATTTTGGGGGGACGGGCCCCGAAGTTTTGGGGAACTGCAACGCCCCCCGAGCCATCACCCTGTCAGCCCTGATCTACTGCCTGCGCTGCCTGGTGGGCCACGACATCCCCCTCAACCAGGTGAGACCCCAAAAACACCCAAAAACACCCGAATTCACCCCAAAAAATTACCCCAAAAAAATCCCGGACCCCAAATCCCAAAAACACCCCAAAACCACCCCAAAACCACCCCAAAACACCCCGAGCCATCGCCCTGTCAGCCCTGATCTACAGCCGGCCACGACATCCCCCTCAACCAGGTGAGACCCCAAAAACACCCAAAAACACCCGAATTCACCCCAAAAACACCCCAAAAAAATCCTGAACCCCAAAAACCCCCCAGACCCCAAAAACACCCCCAAAACACCCGAATTCACCCCAAAAAAATACCCCCAAAAATCCCGGACCCAAAATACCCCCCAAATCCCAAATACACCCCAAAAACACCTGAATTCACCCCAAAAAAACACCCCAAAAAATCCCGGACCCAAAATACCCCCCAAATCCCAAAAACACCCAAAACCACCCAAATTCACCCCAAAAAAATACCCCCAAAAAAATCCCGGACCCCAAAACCACCCCAAATCCCAAAAACACCCCAAAACACCCCAAAACACCCCGAGCCATCGCCCTGTCAGCCCTGATCTACAGCCGGCCACGACATCCCCCTCAACCAGGTGAGACCCCAAAAACACCCAAAAACACCCGAATTCACCCCAAAAACACCCCAAAAAAATCCTGAACCCCAAAAACCCCCCAGACCCCAAAAACACCCCCAAAACACCCGAATTCACCCCAAAAAAATACCCCCAAAAATCCCGGACCCAAAATACCCCCCAAATCCCAAATACACCCCAAAAACACCTGAATTCACCCCAAAAAAATACCCCCCAAAAATCCCGGACCCCAAATCCCCAATACACCCCAAAACCCCTCCCGTGTCCCCTCCCTGGGGGCCTTGGGGTGTGTCCAGGTGTGCCCAGGTGTCCCCAGGTGTCCCCAGGTGTCCCCAGGTGTCCCCAGGTGTCCCCAGGTGTCCCCAGGTGTCCCCAGGTGTCCCCAGGTGTCCCCAGGTGTCCCCAGGTGTCCCCAGGTGTCCCCAGGTGTCCCCAGGTGTCCCCAGGTGTCCCCAGGTGTCCCCAGGTGTCCCCAGGTGTCCCCAGGTGTCCCCAGGTGTCCCCAGGTGTCCCCAGGTGTCCCCAGGTGTCCCCAGGTGTCCCCAGGTGTCCCCAGGTGTCCCCAGGTGTCCCCAGGTGTATCCAGGTGTGTCTCTCCCCAGGGCTGCCTGGCCCCGGTCCAGGTGCGGATCCCAGGTGTGACCCCAGGTGTATCTCAGGTGTGCCCAGGTGTGTCCCCAGGTGTATCCAGGTGTATCCAGGTGTATCCAGGTGTGTCCCCAGGTGTCCCCAGGTGTATCTC